GCTGAGCAAAGGGCAGCGCCTTGGCATGCCACAGCTATTCCCGGAGCAGCGGGGCTTCCAGAAAAAGCTTCCACTAGCTATTCCGGGTGGGCTCTGACTCACCCCTGGCTGGATGCCGGGGGCTGTACAGCACCTACCATGGCCACCCCCAACCCTGTCACCCTGCTCCTGGGAAGGCACTGCTCCTGTCCGCATCCCTCTGCCCCATTGCCCCCTGCCAGTTCCTCCTCAGGGTGCTTGCACCCCACTGCTAGGCTTACATGTGTGCCCAGGGGTGCCTGGCAGGGGCAGGACCAGTGGGAACAGGGCACTGTAACCCCTTCCACATCTGCTGGCAGCCCAGGTTGGGGTGCCATGTGGGCTTTGCTCCGGGAAGCAGTCCCTGGGGCTGCTGGGGGCTCTGGAGATGGGGAGCAGGAGCTGAGCCCCCCTGGAAGGGGTTAATGGAGAGGTGGCCCGGGACAGAGTCTGTAAACACAGCCACAGAACCAAGGAAGTGCCGCCCCCTTCTCCAGCTGCCTGCCAGGCTGCCTGGCCCCCTTCCCTGCCTGCCCTGCCAGGATGAGCACAGCAATAGCACCCGTACCGCTGTGGATGGAGCAGCAAGGCGGTCCTCCCCCCACCCCGGCCCACACGTCTGAGCATGGGAAAGTGAAATCACTGCCCGGGCATTGCTGGAGGCTGAGCAAATGGCCACCATGCCTTACATGAGCCGCCAGTGATGCAGCGGGTGACGGCTACCTCATCTCACTGGCATGGGTGATGCTATTGAGGCCTGTGGGAGGGCATACAGACACCCCAGCATCCTCACAGACCATGAAGGTGGCCAGTCATCCCTACATCTACGTGGACCATGAGAGCAGCTGGGCAACCCCGGCATCCCAATGGCCATCGGGCAGGCGAAAGTCCCCATGGACCATGAAGGCAGGTGAACACCCCCAGCATCCCCACAGCTCACAGGGCTAGCTAGCGATAAGTGGTGGGGGCAGACATATGCCTCGAGCATTCTCATAGACATGGAGGTAGCTGGTCTCCTCCAGAATCTACATGGCACTGGGGGCAACAGGTCAGCATCCTCGTGGACCATGGAGGCAATAGCTCACCCAGAGACCTACATAGTCCCAAGAGGGGCAAAAAACCACTCCCCAGCATCCTTACAGGTTACAGGGGATGGCTGGACACCCTCAGCATCCATACATGTCACAGGGCAGCCAGGCACCCCCAGTCACCCCGTGCCGCTTGGAGACAGGCCATCATCCCCAGCATCCCCATCACCTGGAGACACAGGGGTGGGGAGCGTGGGCAGCCGAACAGGCTGTGTGCCCATGTTGCCAGTCCTGAGCTGTGGGGTGAGTGAAGACATGGGGGCAGCTGGGGTGAGCAGAAGGCTGCAGCCTGCAGGACACCCACCTGTTCCTGGAACCCCAGTGGGCTGGATGGGGAAGGAGAACCATCTCCTATTTAGACAACAGCACGTGCCCTGGGTCTGTCAGCGCCGGGGAATGGGCCGCAAGGTCCTTTCCTCTTAGGGTAAAGGCGCTTGGGAGGCTCATGGCTGTAAAAGGAGTTGGATGGAGGGAGACAGCCAGGGGCCAGGAGAGAGGGGGATGGACACTCTTGCTGCTTCATTCCCATCCCTCTGCTCACCCCTGAGTCAGGGCCAGGCGTGAGTGGAGCACGGGGGCACTGGCAGCAGGGTACGGGGCCGAGGAGGGGCCAGCACCCTATCCCCGCATCCTGCCCAGCTCCAAGCCCTGAGATGCCCACAACCCGAGGAGGCTGTACCCGAGGCTGTACCTGGCTCCCCAGGCGGCTTAAATCCTGGGGGAGCAGCAGGGAGGGAGGGCCAGGGAGGAGGGGCAGCCGCGGGATGCAGCTGGCTTTGCTCACCGAGTTGTCATGACCAGAGGGAGCTGTTTGACATTCCAGCTCCCGACGCCTTCCCGGCAGCAGCCTCCTCCTAGGGCCTGGCTGGAGCTGGGGCTGGGCCAGTGCGGGGGCTCAGAGGCTGCTTCCCAGGCTCTGTT